GTCACACTGTGTTTCTTGTACCTCGAGCAATTGCATTCGTGCGCGCGCACTCTCTCTTTCCTTAAGCTGACGTGGATTCGTACGTATTTTCTGAAAGTGGCTTTCAAGTGTCCATGGGAATGGTGTGGAGATAAATTAACCAAATTTGTATCTGAAATTGATGGTGTACTATATAGTAAGATTATTGATGTGGAGCAAGGGAAGTTGGTTGTGACAGGAACCCTTGGCAAAAAGCAAATCATCACGGCGATTAAACATGCGAAGCTCTGGAGGAGTCAAAAGGGTTCGAAAACCTGCGAATTCAACTCGAAAACCAGTTCAAGGACATGGTCATTGGTGAAAGTAGCAAAGGTGGTGGCAAAGGCAAAAAATTTGTCGACCTCGACTTGTCTGATGAAGAGGTGCTGGGTGATGGTGGTTTGGTGAGATGGGTTGGGACAAATATAAGTAAAAGACTGGATTGCATGAAACAGGGATGTCAAGGTGGCGACGACACAATGGTGCTACTAGTTCAAGGATTTGCATGATATGCAAGAATATTGTCCAGGTGGTGGTGTCCAAACCTATCGTGTGTTGTTACATGTTTTGACTTCTTCACATGGTGTCGGAGGATTTGTTGGGGACGCTTATCACACGTCGCTGCGTGTTTTAAATTTCCCACATGCCTTCGGGTGATTGATTTAGGACATGACCACTTAACCGTCATCGATTTACGTAAGTCTTTATTTGGGAATGCAGTCAAACATTATGGCAATAAACATGAAAATAAGCAACTGATGAATAACACGGAACATGACACTGATGCTTTGAATCATAGCAAAGAGGGAAAGACGGCGCCAAAGGAGGCAAAGTAAGCAATCCTGATAACCTAGAGTATCTTCTGTCCTCCTGCCCTTGGGGTGGTGGGGAGAGAATACAGAATACTTCCTCTGTGTGTGGGTGTGGACGGACCTTAGAATTTCTCCCAATAACCAACCGCTGCAACAGCAGGATACGTTGGGCATGCTGATGATGGATGAAAACATAGCAATTGATCATTTATGTAACAACCCGTCCTTGGAATTTACAGAACAAAAAAATAATTTTGTATATTCACTAAATTTAGGATATTTTCCTTTGAAAAATGGTTTTTTGGATCTTAAATGATGTGCCCAAGGGGGGACACCTCTGATTTGTCCCCCGGTTCCTTTCCCCTTTTCTTTCTTTTTCTGATTTTTATAACTCTATCTCTCTCTCCTCTCTTCTCTTCCTATAACCTCATCTTTCTCTCTCTCTTCTTCTTCTCTCTTTCTTTCTCTCGTGTGACTCCCGAACCTCTCTCTCCTGCTGTGATCTCTCCCTCTTTCTCAAGTTTGTCACTCACATAAGCAACAACCCCAAACCAACACCACTGGACGTAGGAACCTTGGGAAAACTCAAGCAAACCTTCATGGAACCCCAACAGTGACGGCGTCACTGTTCATCATCTTCTCCGACGTGTTTCGTGTTTTTCCGATGTTGGTGAGCTTCCAGAAACCCTTGGGTTGTGTTTTGGGGTTAGATCGAAGCTTGTTTTAAGTTGTGTATACGTTTGAATCGCAGAAAATAGCTCGTAGTAGCTTTTCCAAATTTTCCGGTTAGCACCACCCATTTCGAGGCAATTTCCAGCCAAAACACGGCCATTTGGCCGACATGCAAGGTACCAATCTCTTCGTCTCGCTGAGTACTACAGCTTTCCTTCTTTCTTTTTTTGACCCAATTTCGTTGAGTATCGAAAAAGTTATGTGCGTTTGAAGTTTGCCCAAAAAAGCCAAAACCTTTGGCCTGAAAATGGGTCAACCTGACCCATTAACCCATGGTCTAACCCAATTTCCCAAGCCCAAGTCTAAAATCCAAACCCAGGCCTTTGGGCCGGATCACTAAGCCCAAGCCCATTTCTTTTTAGTTTTGTTTTATTTTTATTCCTATGTAATTCTAAAGGCCTTGGGCCGTAGTGAAGTCGGGCTTTAGGCCCGTTACCCATTAAACCCGAAACCCTTTTTAATTATTTAAATTAAAGGCCTTTGGGCCGTTTCCTTTAGGGTCATCGGCACGTTAACCCTAAACCCATTTATTTAAACCCTAAAACCCATTAGATCCTAAACCCTAAGCCTAGACCCGTTTGACCCGGTCCGACCCGGACCATGACCCATTGACTTTGACCCGGTTTGACTGTTGACCCAGTCAACGTTGACCGTTGACCGTTGACTTCATGTTGACTTTTTGAGTTTTTGTCTGGGACCTCTCCTAGGCTAATTCCGACGTCCTGGACTTGTTTCTGAAGTCCGGTTTTCCAAATTCAATCATTTGAGTAGAGTTTGACTAAATGTACCATTTATGTGCTTAGGGGCAATTAATTGTGGTGTTTCTGTCTTCGCTAGTTGTATGGCTCTTCGGCAGCTAAGTACTGTGAGTGGACCCTTTCTAAAAATGCATGTTTTGATGCATACATGAAAAGCATGATTTGATGACTATGTTTTATGAAACGTTTTATGAGATAACATGCTTACTGAGACTAATTTGAATTATTACTATTTTTTCTATAACCCGTGTTCTTATAGAATATCTGATGGATGACAATATGATATTTAGAACATGTTTAGAACAACTCTTTATAGTATAGATGATGGATGACTTTATACTATGAAGTTGATTTTCAATATATGTATGTTCAATGGTTTTGTACTTACCTAGTGGTCCTTCGTCCGCTACAGGACGTAGGGATAGATTCTGATCCATCCTGGGCGACGGTTTGGTGTTGGCATAAGGCTTAGAGTGTGTTTCCTCTAGCTATTAGCATAGGGATGGGGAGCCGACATGGCGGCCTGGAATGTACTTTCCTCCAACTGTCTGCTCAAAAATGGGGAGCTGGCATGGGGCATGGGGGTTATCGGACATTCACTAGTGATTATTATATATACAAGTTATGATTTGAGACATTGCACGGCATGCTAGGTTTCGGAAAACCTATGTTTATTATGATATATGTGTTTTCATAAAACCTGAGGGTTAGTACGTTGATAACTGTTTTATTTTATATATATATATATAAACTTGGTCTACTCATGTTTTTTTTGCGCCCTCTTCAGGACTTAGAATTGAGGCATACAATCCCGGCATCCAGGCACTTTCGTATCGGTATCTTCGAGTCCTCTCGGCGTAGGACCCATTCTTTTATTCATTCAATTTTATATTATTTCTTTTAGTGTTCTAGTTAGTTGTATGCTCTGAACACGTTCCTTAAATTCATATTCATTATTCTTTTATATTTATAAGTCTTATCTTCTCCTTGTTTTCAGCATTTGCACTCAATAAATGGATTTCGTCACTCTTAGGTGTCGGCCAGCGCATGCCTATCCAGATATTCGGGGAATATTGGGATCGAAGCGTGTCACTTTCACTTTATTCAGTGATGACAATGTTCATGGTTGCGTTATTTTGTAAACTTGCTAGATTTTTGTGTATTTTTTGGGTCGATTAAATTTATCTCATTGGATTGTTATGTCCTCTAGGATTTGTATTTTTGTTTCTTTAAAAAATGACTAGCTGGTGGATTCGCCATGCTAGTCCATTCTTCTAGGGGTTAGAAAGATTCACAAAGGTATTTCAGTCTTCTCTAACCACCATCGTATGATTCACCAATATCAAAAATTGAATCAGGACATTTCATGTGAAAAACAAGTCTAGAATACATCTTCAACCACAGAACACCCCCTGGTGGTTGTATTCATATTTTTGTCTGAGTTGCGAGATTTTATTATACTTTTTAGTTAGTGTTATTGGAGTTTTGCTTATTACTTTTAATGGGTAAATTTTTCAAATTAAACGTTCTAGACATATCATTCTTTCATCCATGACAATTGACTTTGTAAACAAACAAGTTTCAATGAAAAATGAGGAATGATTCCTTTCGTACCCAGAAGCAAAAGTATGGTTTACATTATTATAATTTTTAATTATTCTCTCGAGACGTCTGTCCATGGACATGTGGATAAATATTTTTTTTATTAAGAGTAATATTAGGAATATTAAATTTGTAGACTAAATTTACAAACTAAATGATGCGATATCAATAAAAAATAAACACGTTAATCAACAATTAATTAATAATTCAATCATCAACTTTCATGTCATTTAGTTTACAAAATTCAATCTACACATTTAGTCTCCCTAACATTACCCTTTTATAAATCTCATTATTGATGATTTTAAAGTGATTTTTTGACTATTCAATATCAGCAATTTCTCTAATTTTGAATTGGTTAATCGCTTCGATTTTAAGTTTCAATCTCAAATTTACTAAATTGTAACAAAAATTATGAAATTCATCAACGCTAATGCAGTTTTTTTCTAGGGTTTGAAAAGAAAGGTCTGCAATGGGGGCTAGACAAGACAATAAGTGAGGTTGAGATCCAAGTCTAATGTTTGCATTCGGAAAATTAATGAGGCAGAAATAGGGACACGTACATTCAATAAAATATGTCAAGTTAGATACAAACGGATTCGGTTTGACCCAACCCAAATAGCACTTTTCGTAATTTTTTTTTTTAATAATGATATTAGCCTCACAATGAACTAGCAATAATGTGGTTCAATTTCGTCTTTGGTGAGAATCGAACTTAAGACCTCTCACTTAGAAATGAAAAGAGATATCAATAGATCGTAGTACTAAGTGGCCGCATTTTTTGTGATTAGCTAAAAGATAAAAAGAGACGTGTGCATGTTGCTGGGAGCCTTGGCGATCGCCTCTAAACCTAAATCCTAATTCCTAAACTTGAAGAGAAAACTTAGAGATTAAATTTCTGTTTCACAGAAGACCAAGTCACATATGTCGATACGCCATTTCTCAATATTCCAGACCAAGTCACGGACAAAATTTCCAGGAAATATTAATACCGTGTATTTTCTTACACACAACCTTATATTTTCCGTATCACATACGTATAATGTCATCATATAAACAAGTTATATGGAAAATGTTCTGTCATTATTTCTTGCTTCAAAATCAATACCAAAATGTCTGTCTCTGAAACCAGCGCGAATCGTGTCCAAAGACTCTGGCTTCTGTTTCCCATGGTCATCATCTGCCTTCTCATCAGTCTTTCCTATGGACTTGAAGCTGACAGTAGCACCAATGTCACCAACGTCGGTGCAATCATTAACTTTAGTTCTCGTATTGGGAAAGAGCAGAAAACGGCCATGGAGACCGCAGCTGAGAGCTTCAACAACCGTTCAAAGACTCATAAGCTCATCCTTCATTTTCGTGACTCCCGCAGAGACCCCTTTCTTGCTGCTTCTGCTGGTGAGTAAAGCAGTAAGCACATGACATGACGGTATTTATAATAGTTAACTAGTTTGGACATGTATTAGAACTGATGGAGTTTATGTATGTTTCGTTTCAATTTTTGTTGCAGCTGAAGAATTGATAAAGGAGAAGAAAGTAGAAGTAATAGTTGGCATGGAGACATGGGAGGAAGCAGCTCAAGTAGCTGATCTTGTCGGAAACCAAACTCAAATTCCGGTGATTTCATTTGCATCGCCCTCTATAACCCTGCCACTAATGCAACGCCGATGGCCATTTTTGATACGAATAGCAACAGATGGTTATGCTCAGATGAAATGCATTGCGGATATAGTTTCAGCTTACCATTGGAAAACGGTGGTTGTGGTATACGAAGATGATGGTTATGGCGGCGATGTTGGGATGCTAGCTCTTTTGACCGAGGCGCTCCAAGATGTCGGTTCAAAGATTGAGCACCGTTTGGTTCTTCCGCAGATTTCTTCGCTGTCTAATCCAAACTGGGTTGAGCTAGAAGAGATGTTGAGGCTTCCCACCATGCAGTCTCGAGTGTTTATCATTCTCCAGTCATCGTTGCCTACGGTAACTAATCTATTTCGATTGGCTGGAAAGATGGGACTTGTTGGAAAAGAGTCAGCTTGGATCATCACCGAGAGTATTGCAAGTTTGCTTGACCCTCAACACACCTCTGACATGAAAGGCACTCTGGGAATCAAGACCTACTATGCCAATAATACTAGTTCTTATACAAATTTCCGGAAGAAAGTCCAAACGAAGTATTCAGAAGGAAATAGCGTGCAGCCAGAAATTTACGCTCTTCGAGCATATGATGCTATTGGAATCATTACACAGGCCATAGGAAAAATGGCTGACAACACAATTAGCCTTGAGGTGTTGAAAACCGTATTGAGCGGTTATACAGGTTTGAGTGCGAACATGCGGTTAAATGGCGGTGAGGTACTGTACTCTCCAGTTTTCAGGATTGTAAATATTTTGGATGAGAATAGATTTCAAGAATTGAACTATTGGAAACCGGAAGTTGGGTTCTCAACGGATGAAGCAGGGAAACACAGATTCAGTGATGTTGGTGAAGTAATCTGGCCCGGGAACCTAGCTAGTGCCCCGAAAGGCTGGGCAATGCCTACTGTTGAGAAGCCAATGAGAATTGGGGTGCCGGGTAATACTTCCTTCAGCAAATTCGTGAAGGTTGATCGGTCCAGGCAAGACTCAGATAAGAAGAAGTATGTCGGTTTCTGCATTGCAATTTTTGATATGGTCATAAATCGTTTGAACTATTCTCTGCCGTATCAATTTGAAGTTTTTGATGGCTTGTACGATGATCTTGTGGAACAAGTCCATAAAAAGGTAAAACCATCATTTATTTCTCTATTTTTTCATGAAGATGAATTCGAATACTGTTTCGCTCTTTCATTGGTTTTGATTCGACTGTATGCTTGCAGGTTTATGATGCTGTGGTTGGTGACATAACCGTGCTAGCTGATCGGCTGGACAAGGTGGAATTCACTCAGCCATATATGGAGTCTGGTTTGTCCATGATAGTTCCGGCAAAACCCGAAAAATCAACATGGATGTTTATGAAACCTTTCACATGGCAAATGTGGGTGGTGACTGGTTCCATCTTCATCTACACAGTGTTCATCATATGGTTCCTGGAGCGCCTGTCGAATCCAGCATTCGGTGGCCCCTTGAAGAATCAGATTGGCACAGCAACTTGGTTCACCTTCTCCACTTTGTTCTTTGCTCACAGTAAGTACCAATTTTGTACATTTCACTACCAAAAAAGCGAGTATTAGAAGTGCTTCTGTTAGAGGCAAGGGTCGTATGTCCCCTGACATACGCCCCTATTTGGCTTTGTAGCGACCATTCTAAACACCCCTACCGCTCTTTTCTTCTTCGTAATGTATGATAACCAATGACAATCTAAAATTTTCAGGACAAGCCTAACTATGAAAATAGTCGGGTCCAAAATTATTTGAGAATTAATCTTATCCTCATTGTAAACTTACGTTTTTATTTCACAGAAGAGAAAATCTACAGCAACTTAACGCGAGTGGTGGTCGTAGTCTGGCTCTTTGTTGTATTGAGCCTGACTTCAAGCTACACTGCTAATCTCTCTTCAATGCTCACCGTCCAACGACTGAAACTGAATGCAACATACATCGACACCGACTCGAAAGTTGGTTGCGACGGGGACTCATTTGTCATTGAGTACCTGCAGAATGTCCTTGGATTCAAAAACATCATCAAAGTGAAAAGCGAATACGACTACCCGAATGAATTCAAAAACAAAACTATAGAGGCCGCCTTTCTTGAACTCCCATATGCAGAAGTCTTCATGAATGAATACTGCGAAGGATATACTGCCACTGCACCCACCTATAGATTTGGAGGCTTGAGCTTTGTGAGTAATGACTAAATTGTCCACATTCTATTTCTTTCTGCGCTTACAAAATACGAAAATATGCAAAAATAGAACTCGTTACTAACTTTTGGTCTAAAATATCTCAGTAGAAGTTACCATATTTCTGACCAACATAGCGAAACTAATAAAATTGTTTTCGTGTTCACCTTGCAGATATTCCAGAGAGGTTCTCCGATAGTGCGTGATTTCTCGAAGGTGATTCTAGAGCTGTTGGAGAATGGGGAAGTGAAGCAGCTACAAAATGAATGGTTGACTCCCAACAAGGAGTGTCCAAGAAATGCAACTTCGAACGAACCAGAAAGCTTGACCCTCAACAGTTTTACAGGCCTCTATGTAATATCAGCTGCTACTTCCACCTTATGCTTTCTGCTCTCTTTTACCATCAGGCTGAGGAGGTTTCAGCATCAAGAGGCAGCAGAACAAGGCAGTGCAAGTCCGAGCCCGACCGGAGAAACGCTTTTCAACAAGGCAGTTAGAATGGCAAAAAAAATTTACACTAGAGAGATTGACGTTCCAACCAGATCTCCATTTTTTACTTTTTTCGCAGAAGAATGGAGTTCTCCAATGTGGGAGTACTCCACCACTTCCACTACTCCTCAGCATCCTCATCACACCTACAATCCACCAGAAATTGAATGCATTCCAATCCAATCCAATGCAATCTAATCTAATCCAATCCAATCAATCCGCCTAAACCGAAATCAACCCAACTGGTTCAATTCCTTTGATCCATAGATCATCATTTTGGTACATTTTTTTATATACTTCCAGATTGTATATGCTGATAAATTGCGCATATAGTTTTAGACTAATGTTTAGGCAGTTGTCTTTGCTTTCTGTTTCTTTATACATTTGATTAATTCATGTACTTTGTATAGAATACCTCATTAAGAGATGAATACTGTATAGTCTTATTTTTACCAGAAAGTAGTGTGAACATTGAAGCATGTCGTGGTCATTTACAGATAATGGTTCCAACAACAGCAGCCAAGTCTTATCTCATTAAGTGAGCTGTATGAATTTTAGAACGCCATTACACTCGATTTTGCACCATGTGTTATGTTAGCTCTATGTACTCCATACCTTTTCTTAAAGTGATCTCTTTCCAAGTCTTCCTCTACCCCTTTTGACGTTAGCATTCGTCTCATAGTTGCGTCTTCTAACCAGAGCATCTGTAGGTCTTCGGTTCACACCTTACCCGATTTCCTCTAATCTTATCTCAATTGCGGCCACTCCTACTTTACATCCGATATCATCACTCTTAATTATATCATTTCTCGTGCAACCACTTCTACTCTACCTTCGCTTTTCTCTCATCTCCATTCATTTTTTGTTTGTTGATTTTTGAACGCCCAACATTCTTTCAAATTAAAAATCACTTTGTTTATTCCTTTCCCGTTTCCCTTTGGAAAATTATGCGATTAAAGGGGACAACCATTCTTGCATGCAAACTAGACATAAAAGTTTTCAAAGAAAGACAAATTCCTCAAGGATGCAAATCAATCTAGTTGAACAATAACATAAAATTGAAATTAAAAGTCAATCAAGCACCAGTGGTCTAGTGGTAGAATAGTACCCTGCCACGGTACAGACCCGGGTTCGATTCCCGGCTGGTGCAGTTTTGGTTTTTTGTCACATTATATTATTCACCCTCTGTTTTTGCGTATCTACTTCCTCTGGTTGGCACCCAATCTATTGTGTAATCACACATACATTAGCATAGGGCATTCGTCCCGAAAAATACAAATAAAACAATTATACCATAGGCTCGTGACTCGTGTACATGACGAAAGACTTGCCTACATCCGTCCCTGAGATGCCAGTATAGCGTCCCATACCAAATGATGCAAGCTATGTGTTTTAACTTCCGACATAGGACTGTACCATTGGTTTGGGGCACCACGGTGGCGTGCAGGTGTAAGGAACTCGTATGTAGTTATACTTTGAAAGCCAATATCGAACCCAAGCTATTTTGTAAGCCAATACTTCGTAAGGAACTCATATGTAGTTAAACATTTTGTTTATTAGACATCACATAAATGACTCGTAGAAAAAACTCAATATACAAACTAACATTCTAGGAGGAAAAGATGTTCTCGCAACAAACCCGACCTTGAAGTTGCATCTGGATTCCGGCAGAATGGTTGTCGGCAGATGGTGGCATGTTTCTTGGTCTACTATATATACATAGGAGCACGGCATACAATCTCCTCATAACAGTTATACAGAACTTGCTTTTTATACTTCTTCACCGCCGCTTTGGCTAACAGACTTCAAAATGTTGAACTTGCAGAGTGGGCAGGTGGCATTGATCTGTAACCATTTGTCTATGCAGGTGCAGTGAAAGTGGTGACAGCATGGAAGTTCACGCAGTTCAGTTCCATCCTCGTAGGCACAAAGGCAGATGCAACATTCCTGAGATTTAACACAACAACTCAGGTAATAAGCACACTAGTCATGTAGTGTAGGCTCAATTGCTGAACAAGTACATGGTATGATTTCCGGTTGGTAATACAAAAACCGATTTCAGCATTCCATTTAAAAAATAAATAAAAAACTTTGTTATGAAACTTCCTAGTAAAAAGAAATCAAGAATGTATCATGGAACTTACAGCATCCTCTGCAGAAAGAACATGTTCAGTAGGTGTAGCAGTGTCGCATTCCGTCATTACTCCTCCAGAAGATTCTTGGATCTCACCATTAACTTTGTCAAAATCAGGTATCTTGTGGAACTTGTACTTTGGCAAATGATCGATCTCTTCCTTTGTTGCTCCTTCCTGTTCAGAAACCAAAAATGACCAGGAAATTAGGGACAGTATTTAACAGCATATAAATGAAAGGAAGGTATAAAACTCACACAGGTTCTGATGAAATTCAAAAATTCTCCTAAAGTAAACGGCGCATACACAGATAGTTAGAAACCATGCAACATATGATAGTCAAATTTGACAAATAAAAACAAAGTCACTATAAATCTCCAGGAGCGGAAATGAACTCTAGACAATGTCTTCACATGTCACGTTTAGATCTTAGCTCAGAATCCTAGTGGCTATTGGACTATCTACATTCAATTGTACTACACAATGGGAACATTACAATATATTATTAGTTTGCCTCATATATAGCTTCAAAGCTTGAGAAGATCAGAGGCTTTATGTTGTGCGATACTAACGTTCACCAATCAAACTAGAGCTTGTGTCTATAAGAAAGTGACAAATAGTAAATATTTTTTCGAGTGGCATCATAATATCACTGAATATCAAGCTTCTTAACGTATGGAATCAACTCAAACATTTCCCACAAGCACATACCTGATCTGTCACAACATACAATATGGCAATGATGCAGGGGAGGCAGAAGCAAACGGCAATACCAATGAGAGACACGACAGCAACGCAGATGACTACGAAGACAACATCCAAAGCAAGAAAAGTGATACAAATCCTGCATAAACAACCCACATTTTATAAGCCAAAGATGATCACATCATGCACAGAAATGTCTTGAACGAAAATGGTAGCAAAAAGGGACAGTTAGTTCAAACAAACCAGTATAACTCTGGGGAATCTCGTATCAAACTTTCACCGCCAGCAGTCACCCAGTAGAACCCAAGAAGCCACCAGATAAACGAAAACACCGTATTTGCAGACTCCAAATGCTTTGCAACACTGCCACATCAAACCATCAGAATATTCTTCTACATACACACCACATCAATCAATCTCCGTCAAAACAAATTCTTCAAATGGAAAATGGGTACTTTCCTAAAGGCTCAAATCCAGTCCAAAATTCCCAAATTTAATCAACGAAACAATTTTCCACCCAAAAATAGATGTTGCAACAGCTACATTACTACAAATAGTAAAAATTAATACTCAAAACCCCAGTTCAAATTCTCAATAACCCCACAAAAAAAAGTTGATCATTTAAAAAAAATGAAAAACCTGGTGGCAGTGTAGTCGGCGCTCTGCTCAACTCCATAGTCCTCACCATCATCACTCCCAGACCCAGATGAATTTTCCCACCCGGAACCCGCTTCCGCGGCCGCTTGACCTCCGCGCCTCCGCCGCTTGCACTCCACCCCCACGCAGACCATATGGACCAGGCACTGAAACGCGTACCCGCCAATCCAAGTCCTCAAAGGCACCGAAGGTGCCTCTTTCCAGCTCATCGACAGCACCCCGACGGCAATCCCAAGGAGCCCGGCGTTCCACAAGAGGTCCAACACGATAATCGGCCGAGAGTAGGCCCAGTCGCTCTGGCGCTCCTCCAGCTGCTCCGCCGCCGCCTCCCGTACCCGGACCGACGGCTCGCGCAGCATCATGCGTCTGCTGCTGGCGCGACGCAGGAAGCGAGCCGCGCCTCGAAGCGGGCGTGGCGGCTGACGGACGAGCAGCCGGCTGCGGACGAGGTTTTCGGACATCGATTGGCCTAAAAGCGGCGACGAAGCGTCGGAGGGAGACGGGAGTTGGTAGTGATTTGAGTTCAACATCGTCTTTCGGTTTGAATTTTACTGAAATTTTGAAACTAATTGAATCGGGGTTTTCCTTTTAATCTTGAAGAAGTGAACTTTAGGGTTTGAGAGTGGGGGATTGAATTGAAAGATTGGGTTTTGGGGATGATTTGATCGGAATATTTGGTGAGCTTTTTGTATCGTGGTAAGGAAGAACACACTTACTAAGACAATGAAATGGAGTTTCGTCAACGGTTAAATACAACGGAGCTGACACGCGCGGGACTATCCAACTATATTTTCTTTTCCTTTAAATAGGAAAGACAAAAGAAAATTATTTTTGGATATTTACCAAAAATACAAAATTTCATATATATATTTTTTTTTTACCAAAAACAAATTAAGAGTCCTGAATGTGGCAAAAAGAATCGTCTATTATTTTCTTTTTATATAATTTCTATTAATATAGGAAAATAAATATTCGATTTTTGCCTAATATTGTATATTAATGGTCGATTTTTGTTCAGGTCCAAAAATAAATATTCTCTATCGATTGAGTTACAAGCTCTTTGCTTTATTTTTGTAGGAGAATAATTCTTTGTTATTTAGAGAGGCAAAGGGACAATAGCCCCTATACATATAAGTTAAAAAGATTAAGAATATGGTGGCGGGTACTCCTGGCATATTTATTTTTGTTCAAATGATTTTAGGAATATATGATCCAATCCTAATGAATAGCGTATTTGATTTCTATACATGCATTTCTTCCTCTTTTAAATTATTATAGTAGTTTTAAATTCTATCCCTAAAAATTAAAAAGAAAAAAAATGATATTTTAAGGTTTCTCTAGTAATACATTGACATAAGTGGACATTCGTTCCTGACCACACATCCAAAGTTCCACCCACATAGTGCAAAGATCGGAGCACATTGTTCCTAGCCAGCTTGGATAGGCCCAAGTTTGCAAAAACCCTTTCAAGCTTCAACCTTTGGATCCATCACATTTGTCACACTTTGTATCCACAATTTACGGCATAGTTGTACAAACTTTAATGACAAAGTAAAAAGTAAAGAGGTAATTAGCAAAGCTAGAAAATGGCAAAAGAAGTCATAATATTCGAACATAATAACAGTCATACATTCACTACCGCACCGATAGATCCCTGGAGCTGTTTCGGGATGCTGCGTATTTTTTCGACGACGGAGGGAAATACTCGAGAGCGTTAATCCATTCGCCGCCGTTCTTGTTAGACAAAGCTCCAGAAAAACATAATAAGTAGTGTTAATCAACAATGAATCCAGATTATAATCAGCTTGCTCGATGAAACAAAACTTGCTTCTAACTCGTTTTTAAGAGAAGAAAGAATTCAACACATCGCGTACTCATCTGCAAATTCCTGGGGTGCATCCATATCTTACCATCATGATCTGAAATTGTCTCACGGTGCAGCTATCTGTAACCCCTTCCCCTTCCACGTCCACCCCACCCTCTGCCTCTGCTCCTTCCTCCACCACCGCTCCTTCCCCCGCTTCTTCCACCTTGAGATAGACCTTCAAATGCTCTATTAACAAGCTGATTTTGTAAACCGCCACCTCCACGGCCCTTTTTTGAAGGCATATTTCCAGATTCATTGGAAAAATTAGCAGGTCGTTTTGCTCTGCACCAGTAGGTTTAAACCATATAAGAATAGATCTTTTAACTATAATTTCAAAAAAATAAAAATGTCGCTTTCACAGTATATTATATGTCCCCCTTCAAGATTCAAAGTGCATCTCGTATGGACAAAGACTAAGCTACTAAATGTCAACGTCTACAGAATATGAATGGTCAGTAATTGCAAAAAAATTGAAAAATATGAAATCAGGAAAAGAAGAAAAATTACGAGAAAATATGCATCATTTAATGAAACTCCAAGAGATTCTCGTGCCATCAGTAACCCACAACTGTGACTAAAAGAATACGATAAAACATAGAAAATTAGTCGTTTGATATTTTTTTTCTCCAAGCCAAGACAACTGAAACCAATGGACTGTAATAACCTTATTCTTTGCACAAGCAATTCAAGAAACTGTATTATCCCAACTTGTGTAAAACTAACGAATCCAAAAGTAACATAAATCAACATTTATTCTTCAAACCAATGAGAATATAATAAAAATAGGGGATCAAGAGGATTCTTCTTACCCTGCGGTCGGTGAGCTAGAGGGCATAGCAGGTTTTGTTGCTTCTTTCCAAGACAGATTGATGCTCTTATCTCCAATGAATGAGGGTGTTTTTGAATGCAGAGTCTGCATTGTTTCAAATCATTTAAACATAAGTTCTTAGTTCTTACAGATCATGAATAAATGATCATCCATTCAGAATAATCAAATAGTTGCCCTCACCTTTGTCATCGTCAATATGTTATTGCAGGTTCGCAACCCAGTTGTAGTATTCTGCTTTTCAGTTTTCTGCACATCAAATTATTGTTTTCAAGCTAATTGCTATTAGAAAAGGTCCACAAGACAATCTGAAATGTTCATAAAATTAACTCACAATGGTATTCTTTGCTTCTTCAGACTTTGCAGCTGCCATCGCTTTGTTCTTTTCAGCCATTCCCTGCGTTAATTTCTTCATGGTGGCCCTAGTTAGCTCCTCAACATAGCTCAACCTGCACAATCAATCATAATAGTTCCAGTTATAGTCTTATAGAGGTGTGGCCACTTGATTATCCACTTTTCAAAGTAATTGCTGAGATATCAGTAACATGAAAGAATATCTCTTTCGAAAATTAATAATAACTTTAGCTATCCTGTGGCTTAAAAGCTGGGCTTTTTTTTTTTTTTTTTTAACAAAAGGCTGGGCTTTTAATTGAAATAATATATACATTGACAAGAAAGTAGGATAATATAGACTAGAATAAGTAATAATATATACAAGGAGTAAAACAGGGAAAAAGAAAGACCAACCTCTCAGTAAACTCCTTATATTGCTCCGAAAAGTCCTCGCCAAGCCTATCTGATGGTTGCCCAGTCACTATCTTGTAACCGCATAGACTGTTAGTAGCATTAGGAACCTATATGATAAAGAAATCAAGTCAGCACAAAAAAATGTTTATTCGCAGTAGTATTGACAAGAGGTTGATTGGAATTCAAAATACCTTGTGAGCAAGATGGTGAAAAGTGTACAACAAGCATTCTACGTAAGTGAAGTTAAACTCCTCTCCAGTCTTTCTCCGAGGCATGTTTTTCTGCAAGGAAAAAATAGAATAAAAATGAGAATTAGTTTGCGACTAGAATAAACAAAAAAATGACTCCAAAAATGGTTTGTTATCTAGCCATGGAGCAAACAAAAAAGCCGATACTGTCCAAAGACTGGATGTGAATATATCAATTCTAATAAGTTTTTAAAGGCACAATTGAGGTTCACCTCATAGCAATGCGCCATTACGGTTGAATGATAATTAGTACAATAATACATATATTTAAATCTTTTTAATTGAATAACTTGAGTCTGAAAAAGGCTTTGTCATTGTCTTGCCAGAATTAAAATGCCTCGCATTATGCATTTGCATTTACATTTACAAACACTGATTCTAATAGTGGAGAGTATTTACAGGTTGGATCTTCACGCACATAGTCCAAACATCTAATAATTTTGAATATATAAACTGATGGCATTACCGATTAAAAATATTGTACCTTCAACAGCTGAACAACAGAAGGAAGAATCTGACGAGAATCTTGTGGTGCTGTGAAAGGTGAAACTTCTGCAAGGGCTTTGAGCAAATCTAGCCTTCTTTCATCAGGAAGCTGACAAAGAAAAAATTGTTTAAATAAAAATTATTGACGAGCTTTCCCATTACACCAAAACGCTATAAAGACGGCACATCAGAGGATAAAATTGTCAAATAGTCATAAAAAGATACTGATAAATTGAAATGGAATTAAAATTTTATTTATCATCACTAAAGGTTTGCAAGTACTGCAATCCCCAAGCTATTTACTTAATCCTATATTCCATATCGTCCTGTTTTCATTTCAGAACCTAATGATCATTTCTCAAGAGTCCTCTTAACAATGTAGACAAGTACGAAACAGTATGACTACTTACAGCCAATAAAAACTTCTGGATTCATATGGAAATAAAGGAATCAACTATTTGATCTAAACACTGCTTTAGTATTGGAGTAGTTGATTCAAGAAAAGAAATAAAGCAAGATTAGAAGACCAATAGCAGAAAGGATATATCATCCCAAATTCTGATGGAACATTTCAAACAAAAACAAATAAAGCAAACAAATATAGAAAAAATTACATCCCAGTGTTTAATTATATATCAGCTTGTTTGCTAAAAAATGTGAACATTTTCATTTTTTTTGGGCCAACACTGATGGAAGAATATAGAAATAAAACTCTTCAGATTACCAAGAAACTTGACGCACATATATAGAATGATATACCAAGTCAGCGGAAGTGATGATGTTACCTTATCCGAAACAGGAAGGATGTGTTTGTCCAGATAGTTTAGGAACTTGCTGCTTGATGCACCCCTCTGTATTAAATATGAATTAACAGGGTTGGTCCTTGATTCCCAGAAATATACACATCAAAAGCACAAGGAAAAATCTACGATATTCGAGGCTATACCACAACAAATGGCAGAGCCATGAATAGGCAGGATATCAACCTGTCAATATGATCAGCATCTGAAACCTGCATCCCAACCATTTTGGCGTTAAGCTATCGAAAGAACCAAAGTGATTAAAAAGAATACATTGATACTACGATCTTAAAAAAAAGAAGCAGAATATACACTGTAGAAGCATCTTTTCCAATACGATCACTTTTGTTTCCTTCTAGCCCAAAAAGACAATATCATATGTAAGGGTGGCTTATATTAAATGACATTAACAAGACACTGGTGGTCGTTATAATTTGAAATAATTTTCTAAATCAAACTTTCAACCCTACAGACATGCATAGTTATAGATGCCCGGATACTTTTAAGAAATTGATGAATATCAAGCTTCCAATGAATCTACATATCTTGAAAAACAATCCAATTAGACTACCCCAGCACCAAAAACAACCCACTCATATACTGGTTTGATTACAGGTCTAATTGGGATCCTGGGACTAGTAAATAACTAAGTGGAGCTTCACCTGTAAACCATTGACAGATTTGTTGATCATCCCAACAGAAAACGGAAAAGTAAACAAATTTATCGCTTAACAAATCTACAGCATGCAGTCAATATTGTGATGAGAAAGTTGGTATAAGTATCATGAATAAGAACTACATACAAGGATTAACATAATCACCACGACTGATATTGGTCCAGGTATGATTATCATTAACCCTAAACCCTAAGCCCATGCCAGAGTCATGCAACCATACATGCAAATAGTAATCAAAATACAAAGTCAATGCATCACATCTAAGAATATCAAAATAAATGCAAGCCATCTTATGGAATGACAGAGTAATATCAAAAAGGCTTATTTCAGCATTACTCATTGTGAGTACATTTGGCATATTGGGCTTGGTCAGGAAGTGCCATTCTTTATCCTTAAATCAACACAATAAAACAAGTGCTTACATTGAATTGGGCATCCAAATCAGCTTGTCCTTCAATAATTCCAATAAGTTCTTTCATGCGTTCAGCAGGCGCTTTCTCCCCAAATATGCTCAAACTTTTTAAGAAGTCCATAAACATTCTAAACTCTGCACCAGTCACATCTTCCAAACTCTACAATTGAACTCAATCATATTAGTCAAATACAACCTTGCAACAGAAAAGTACAATAAAATTGAAGAGATCATAATTATAAATGTCCACAGTTTTTCTTTTAACTAAAGGCAACATGAGGGGAAGAGAACAACATATAAATTTACTAATTAGAGGTGATCATGCCACACTTCAAACTAATACTTTCATAGGAATTTAAGTAGACAGTTCCAAGACTCTAAATCTTAACATGCGCATGAAGACAATCGACACAGCATTCACGTACATACCTTTTTTATTAAATCAGTAATATGCCTTTCCATTTCCTCCTGAGGCTTCAAAAGTTCAGCTTTAATAGGAAATACCTACAATTTTGATCATTTAACATCCAGTTATCTTAAAGAGATACATGATATCAATCATATTGGACATTTGAAAAAAGTGGTCTTCTCACCTTATCTCTAATGAAGCTTAAAACCTTCTCGCGAATGAACTCATCTGTGCTTGGTTCATCAACACTCCCAATGTGCTTGAATAATGCTGTCAAAGAAGCTGTACATACAAGAAGATGAGGCACATTATGAAAGAGAGAGATTTCAATGATCCATGATGTATCAGGTGTTGAACTTAAGGCTAGTAAGAAAAATACATAAATGTACATAAAATATGTATACATTTGTACACATATACAATTTACTTATAAATAAAAATGCCAACTTAAAATCTGATGTAATGATACATCAGTTCATTTGTAATAAACATATAATCTGTAATCATGCACTATCAGTTAATTTGAAGATCACAAATATACCTTTAACATCTTGCCTCAAAAGGGCCATAAGTGCTTTATGCACAGCATCACGCTCCACAAATTCCTCTAAAAGCATCAACAAAGCCCAACATCAGACTCATATAACATACCCACCATACTCACAGAATCACAATTCCCAACAAAGAATGGAAAATAAGTACCAGATGCAAGGAGTTGCACAAGAATGTCTACAATTTTCGCAATGTGTTCAGGCGTATCCTTGCAAAAAAGGGGAAGGCCCCGAATAGCTTGTACTCGTACCTGCACATTTCATTGATGATCGAAACTAAATATTTGAACTAAATTTTAAAACCAACAAGACCCCGAATAAGATAAGATATAAGACATGCTGTCAATTGCTTCAACTATGTCACAACCAACAAATTTAAAACACCAACTCTTCACCATAGAAAAAATCCCACAACTTTCCAGTTACCAAATATAGCCAGGGCATAAAAAATGAAATGAGTGCAAGTAATTATGAGTGGGGTATAGATATGAACTGACCCCAAGCTCTTCTTCTTCAATCAAATCGAGGTGGGTATCGATGGCGGGCTGCGAAAGTTCGGGGAAGAACTTGAAGAACCTCGGAATAAGCTGGGCAGCCAGCTGCTTGGCCTTGACACTCGTCTTGGCAGCATTGATAATCCCCTGGTAGTCCCTGACATTCTGAATTCACAAACAAACAAAAAAATTCCCAAAAAATTAAAACCCTAGAAATCAAATTTAAAAAAATAGAAAACACCAAAAGGGTGCAAGAGAAAATTGGCGGGGCGAGGGGTACCTGGGACTTGTCCTTGGACTCGTTGAGGCGTTCGCCAAACTCGTAAAGCTTCTCGATATGCTTAGCCTCGTCGGAGGGGTCGGCCATTGGAGCTCTTCTTCTTCTAGGCCCTCTGAGGAAGCTGAGGCGAAATTTGGAACAAAAAATTGAATTATTATTATAACGCAAAGGTTTTCGAAAAAACTTCATAGTTATTATTCTGGAATTCGAAAGAGGGCTTACTGGTTATTAGCTCTGGAGTGTAGAGAGAGAAAGTAGAGAGAGAGAGAGAGAGAGAGAGAGTGACCAAGGAAGACGAAGACGAAGACGAAGACGAGGGTTTGATGGGGAAGGGAAAAAGCCGGAGCCAAGCTTCTTCTCTTTGCTTTACTTTATCTTATACGACGTCGTCCCGCCGGGCCTTTGGGCATTTTTCTCACCGCAAAAGAAATAAAATAAAATAAAACGTTTCTACTGGCGCAGAAACGCACCGTCTTACCCTTAATGTTTGAATATCTAAAGACGCTCTTGGGCATTGGGGCGGTGCGTTCATTTTCTTGCACCCGAGTTGAAAATTTATATATGTTTTTTAGAAATTGAGTCTGCTTAAATTTGAAGTTTATTTTCTTTATCCAATCGACATGGTTATTGAACTTTGCTAATTGCATGATTCATTGCAATTTTGTTTCATACAACATGCAAAAGAGATAAAACTTGTTTGGAAGTGTTTATTAAATACTGAAAGTGCTTCTGGTAAAAATGTTTTTGGAACTAATACTTAGTAAAAATATAAGTGAATCCTAAAAACAACACTTATTATGTTTTTCGCAAGAAACACCAGTTATGTGCTGCTTGCAGGAAGCATTTAAGTATTTTTGGAATCCAAAATGCTTAAAATAGTTTCAATCATTTTAAAAGCACTTCTAAACGAACTCATAGTATTGACTAGAAAAATAATTTCCGCACATTTTTTTTCTTCTCTTTTTGCACTCTTATACCTATTTTTGACTTTTAAATTGAATAACTCGTAAGATAACTATGATACAAATAAACATGGGTGTACAACGGAAGAAAATTTGTGTGCGGAAATCACTCTTTTGACCAATCAGAATGAAACATTGTATCCCCGTGCGGGGCTTTCTCACAAATAAAACACCCATTTTGCAATCTCCTTCTATTACTCCTAGTAAGACAGCTTCATTTCCGCTGGAGAAATCACAGATTCGGCATTTCTAATGCTTGCAGGACATCCTTGAACTCAAAATCGTGTGTTTGTTTGTTGAACCGTTCGACCAGCTTATACCTCATGTCGTTCAAATAAAATGATTGGGTGGTCTCCACGAGCCACTTTGCCTCCGAGTCAGTGAGTTTGCTTGGGAGTACAACATCCCCTCGGATAAGCACCATGTCCTTGCTTTCTGCAAATTCGTTGTAGTAAGTTACAGCGAAGTAGGGAGAAGCTTGAGTTCCCCTCGCCTTGTAATCTTCAAGACCGGTGAAAATCATGTGTAGCATCTGTACTGCAAGAGAGTTGTAAATCAAAAACTTGATACGACAAGGCATTATCCAACTGTTTAGTTATTATAACCAGAAAAAAGTTTGTTGAAACTCTTTCATTTTATACTCTAATGAGCAAGTTCTCTACTGATTTACAACATTACAAAATGTCACTCGTCTCGAGAGGTCCCATCTAATGAGCAAGTTCTTTGATGCTGCCACTCAACATTGCAAAATAACATCAAAGAAGGACATAGATAACTCTTGATATAAACTAACAAAAGCAAAGTTTAAGTATTGTTTGCCCCCACATTTGGGGTCCTATATTTGCGAATTATCGCTTCTACACAACAATTACACTGTTCAGTATTGGTAAGATGTGCTAAAGTGATCACTAAAAAGAGTCGTAAATACAGTGACTAGAGGTCAAACCTTGAGCAAGCATTGTGGTATAACCATTTCCTCTCCACAAGGGAATGACAAAATACCGGCTGCCAGGATAGACAAGTTGATGGTTAAAACAACGAGAAGAGGAAAGAATATAAAGGAAGACAAGCATTAGGTAAATTGATTACCAATCTACCGCTCTACGCTCCAACAGGTTATATAGTTTTGCCTTCATGGATGCACCAATATGACCTCTTCCCAAGTGAAACTGATATAAGATAACCCATCCAAACATTAATGATATTAGAAAACAATCTTGCAACGGAAGCCTCATTTAGTGAGACACTAATGAAATGATACGCAAGATCAATCCACATGAAAAAACGCTTCAGATACAAATTTCAGATTAGATGACAGTTCAGGCCAAAGATATTCAAGGGGACCATAGAGACCGGCAGAGGAAAGAATGTCTTCATATGGACTTATTCCATCTGCTGTAAAGAAATTTTTGGCTGATTCTGCTTTTCAAACTTTAGCCTGAGGAGTTAACAAGGCTCATACATTCGCATGATGCATGGTAAACACAAATTTTAGTTCATGAGGATATCATGAAAATCAGGTTAGAAAAAGACTCTACACAGTGGCCTCAAGCAGCAGACAGCTTAGATTTGACACATTGCGAATTCGTATTACCGGAAAAGATAGACAAAATGCAGTGGCAAGAATTCCTTTGCACCCGTGTTCGGATCCCCTTCCGTAAGTTAGAGTAGTTTAGAATAAATATCACATTGTCCGAAAAAATTAAAAACAGTGGCTCAACCAGCACAAAATGTGAGCTTCAAATTTTCAAGAACGAAGCTTTAAAGCTATGACAAAGCTAGAACTTTTACAGCAACACGTACTGAGCAGCTTAAAGTCGATATTTTTGTTACCAATTCGATCAAATCATAGAATACTATAGCAAATAAGACAAGCTTCTGAAACAATCAAATTAATCGAAAGAAAAGCAGCAAATCAATCAAATTAAGCAAAACAAAGCAAACCCAATTCAAAAAATCACAGATAAATAAAATGCTACAGTGAAATGTGCAATTGGAGGAGAGGAAAAGTAAGAAAACCGAGGCTTACATCGTCCCAAGCCGAAGCGATGTCCTCGGCCGAGCGATCTTTCACCCTCTCAACATCAATGATTGAATCCAACGGCTTAGCCTTCAAGGGATTGAACCCAGTAGCGAAGCTCGAAGCCCTGAAGAAACCCAGCGAACCCCATTTCAGGAAAATCTCCCGGGAACGATTGTTGTTGCGAGTTGTGGCGATTTTGTAGCAGGATCAGAGTTGTGTAGGAGTGCTTGTGCACAGCACCAGCAGAAGAAGAATGGCCGATGAGGATCGATGGTGGAAGCTTAATGATTCTGGAGGCTCTTCGCATTTTAGAAGATTTTTGAAGTGTTTGGAGTGCTGGAGAGCTGGACGCATTCAGGAATTTTATCAAAACACCTAACATAAAAATTTCTATATTTGTGAGAACACAAATAATATACCATTCGTATTTCGGTTACATACAAAAATCTCTCTTTTAGTCTGTACCGAAAATAGAGAGATTTTGAGAGCCCCAAAGAGTTTGGAGGGCTAAACCTGAACGAAGTGGCAATGGATGGGTTTCGGTGCGTAAGCCCAACTAAAGCTCAAGCAATTGCATTTTATGTGTTTTGTCAGACTGTTTAATAAAATGTTGTCGCATTGTTATTTATTTTTAGTTTAATTTTTCTTGAGTATTTTGACGATTATCTATTTAAAGTACTAATAGTATTATAATAGAAACAATATGTGAATAGCCGATAATTTGCTGATATGCTTTGTCATATTAAACGGTCAAACATGCTATGTGATTAGATGTTTTATCTAAAATTTTCTCCACTAAGTAACTAGATAAACGCATCTTAAGTCATTTTTCACTCACTCGTCGAGGAGGCTAGGCTAGTTATTCACTAATCACGTTTAATTTTATAAATAACTCTTTTTTTTTTTTCATTGAACTAATGTGCATATTACAATAAAAAAGAAGCACTTAGAAACTCCCCATTTCTTGAGAAACAAGAAACGGGACGATACAATAGCCATGCTATGGACATATCCAAAATCTGGCCGAAAGGCCTTATCAAAAAGTAAAATTAAAGAATCTATAACTTTCACTAACATCTACCGTTGCCTTTGTTCTATAAGTTCTTAAATGCATTCAGCTTCTTGCGGCGTCACGAATTCAATTTCCAGTGGTGGCATCAAGGCATGTGGATGATCATCGGGAGTGTTGGAAGCAATCGTGTAGTTCCACCTTAACGAAGAACTACATTCTTCTCTATTGGCAAAAGATGGAGCTTCCTTTGGAATAACAAGACTTTGATTAAGGAATCCTGCTACTCTTAACTGTTCTCTTCCAAGTACTCTCATCACTCGGACTTGGACTTGCATTGCCCGGATCAGTTTTTGGCGTTCAAACACTTAAAATTATATTTAGGATTTCAATATGTTTCTCTATTTCTTCTCCTTGAGGAGGAAATATATATATATACCTAGTGATACAAGGAATATTAAAGATAATTATAATCAAACCATCTAGCCGAGATTGCATAGGTCAAAATATCTGCCAATTGTTCAACTGTATTTACAAATGGAATGTCAACCAACTTAACATCCAGTTTCTCTTTTATGAAGTGTCTATCCACCTCAACATGTTTAGTCATATTATACTGCACCGGATTGTTTGCTATCTCTCATGCTGCTTGATTATCACAATACAACTTCAATCCCTAGGAAGTATTTAAGTCCCCCAAGATCTTTCATCTAAAACTCGGAAGACAAGTATCCATGCAACTGTTCAATCTCAAATGTATCATCACCCGTGACAATCATATCATCCACATATATAATGAGTAAGGTCATTTTACCATCCCTACGCTTGATGAACAATGTATGATCTGAGTTCCCTTGTCGGTATCCATGCTTGTTCATAGCCTGATTGAATCACCCAAACCAAGCTCTAGGGCAACTGTTTCAGCCCATACAATGTCTTTCAAAGTCTGCATACTTTTCCACTAGAATTCTCAATGCCATATCCTGGTGGAAAATCTATATATAACTCTTCCTCTAAATCCCATGTGAAAATGCATTTTTCACATCAAATTGTCTCAATGGCCAATCAAGGTTAGCAACAAGAGATAATAGAACTCTAATTGTATTCATTTTGCAACCGGAGCAAATGTTTATTGATAGTTAACACCAAGGGTTTGTATATACTTTTTGGCTACCAATCTCGCTTTATATCTATCAATCGTCCCGTCCGCTTTATGTTTAATGGTAAATACCCACTTGCATCCCAAGAATTTCTTTCCCTTGAGTAATGTAACCACACTCCATGTTTTGGTCTTCTGTAATGCCTCAATCTCAATTTGCATTGCCTCTGTCCATTTCGGATCATTCAAAGCTTATTCCACTGATAGGTATTTTGATAGTCTTCATTTGTTGAACAAGTGCACAGTATTTCGGTAAGAGTCGATGATCGAATACATAGTTAGCAATGGGATACTGCACCTTTCCTTCTGAAGAGTACATGTCTGGTGGTTTTCCTCAATTTTGTCGATAAGGCAACACATAAGATGGTTTGATAATATCTGAGTGAAAACTTACCTCAGGGATACCCATTGAATCATGGTCGCGTACTAGAGGAGTATGAAGGGGATTGACGTGTTCTTTTTCACTAGAGTTGCTGCTCATCTATCGACAAGTTTATGGATGCCAATCACTTGGGCCTGCAGCTGCCATTATTAAATCAGGACCACTTGGGTCAACATTAATTTCGGACACTTGGGTTTCGGTGCACTAGCAGTGGCTCATTGGTTATGCCCACTTGAGTTATTAACAGCTGGACAGTTACACAACCCACTTGGGCTGTCAAGGTTTGGGCACTCACATGGCCCGTGGTCAGGATTTTCAAACGTCGTTCCAAGAATGCCATTTCTCAGTGCAGGAGGGTTGCCTTCTTGGGCTCTGCCCATTTGGGCTTTGTCTCTCGGTGTTGCAGTATGATCAACGTGCCTACTTTGGCTAGCAAAAGGAAGTTCAACTTCATCTATACTGAAGCCGCAATAATCGTCAATTAAGGTTATCTACCCCTAAGGAGTACGGCAAGGATGGATGATAACATCGATAACTTTTTTGTTGTGAACTAAAGCCAACGAACACACACCACAACGCACATAGATCCAATTTGCTTCGTTGATTTCTGTGAAGATGGAACGTATGCCACACAACAAAAAACTCGTGGTTTAAATGAAGAGTAGAGGGGAGAGAAACATGATCGACTAGCACAACTAAGGTGTTCTAAAAGATAGAACATGCGATGGCAATTAGTTCATAAGATATATAGCATAGGTCACGGCATCATCCCAGTATGTCTTGGGTGCACAACTACCAATAAAAAGGGCACGGTTAATCTCAAGTATGTAGTTATTTTTTCATTCGGGTCCATTTTCCTGTGGTGACTGAGGGCACGTTGTTTCATGGAGACTGTCTTTTTCTGTGAAAAACTGAGAAAATATCTTAATTTAAGATACTCACAGCCGTTGTCGGACCGAAGCACTTTAATAGGGAGTGAATATTGAGTATAGACCATGTGATAAAACACTTTGAAGATTCCACCCACATCGCTTTTACTTTTCATGAGGTACTACACAACCAAGTCATTTTAGTGCAGTCATCAACAAATGTTACAAATCAACCCACCTCATGCTTAATAGTAACTAGATATGGCCCTACACATCAGAGTGGATTAACTAAAAAAAAAACTGCTCTTTTATTCAAACTTGGAGAATAAGAAGCTTGATAAATTTTAGCTAAAGTGCAAACTTTACACTTTAACGAAGAATCTGAGACAATACTAAATAAAAACAAAAGTAATTTTCCAAACCAAAGGCAACATGACCTAGTTGACGATGCCACGACTAAACAGTCTTCAACTTGCCATTATGACAACCTTGAACTTGACGAGCATGACCTTGTGCAACATCATCAACATAGTACAACCCCCTCCTCTTAGTACCATGCCCAATGATCACTTTTGTCCGATATCCTGAAGTAAACAGAAAGACAGAAACATTAGCAGTGCACAATTTAGTTGCTCGGTGACTTGTCCCACATATAATAAATGACTAGAGAGTGTGGGAACAAGTAAGCAATTGTATAATGAGAGAGTAGAAGTGAGTGTGATTGAACCCGCCGCTGTGATTGGGGCAACAACTCCATTTGCAATGATAATACTATCCTGTGGGGGTGTTGTTCAAAAGACTATGGTCAAAAGTCATATGACTAGTGGCTTTGGAGTCGATAATCTAAACTGTATCAGAATTAACGGATGCAATTAAGGCATTGTTCGTGTTACTTGAATTATCAGATTGTTCTTGGGAAGCAAGGAAATTTAATAATGAAAGTCGTTGGCCCAAACTGTTTGGGTCCGGATCACTTGTACTGCCCAAATTATGATGGATGCCTGCTAGTCGGCTTAGGGGGCCCATGCCCAAGTTGCTGCCGTTACTTGCTTACTGCACATTCAGATCGTGGGCTCCAGGCTTGGGCTCCGTTCCTGTTTTCTTTCAGCTGGTGGACCGACTGAGTCCGTGACAGTCTTGCTCTCAGCACCAGCATCATCACCTTTCTCGCGTGGATTGTGGTCTCCAAACTTGGCAGGCCCAAGTCTTTCTGCGTTGGTAGTTAGGGCCGCTACCCCAGATGTTGCCTCAGCTACCTTTGCTTGTGCCGTACGTCTGTCCTCTGCCATAGTAGCAGCAGGTTGTGTTTTAAGTTTTTTTAATTTTTCTGGGTTTGGGTTTTAACAGATGTCTGGTCTCTTGTTTCAAGACCTGGGTTTGGGATTTCAAACGGTTGTTAGGCAGCCAACAGAGAAGCACTCAAGTCGGCAGTGAACGGGGTTAGGTTTAGAGACAGGCGAAATACCAAGTTAAAATTATCTTTAGATTTCAATCTGTTTCTCTATTATTCTTCTCCTTTAGGAGGATATACACACACACACACATCTATACCTTGTGATACAAGGAATATTACAAAGAATTATAATCAAACTAGGAAATACAAACATTCTTATTCCAACTACAACTATGAGTCACGCCAATACAACTTCCTCAGCAAGATAACAAGAGAGATTAGAAAACAAAATGTAGAAGTAACGCCGGTTATTATATAGAGGCCGGTGAAATTCTTGAGGCTCAAGCTCTTCGGGGTATCTGAAGTCGCATTTCTTGAACACTCTTCATTTGTAGTCAACCACTTATTTTCTAGCTCCTTCAGTTTTCCATGTTCCAATAGCTCTAGAATGACCCTAGTGAAATCCCTCGCTATTGGAGAACCTTTCTGGAATGCCTGCATGGTGAATAAGAAATCAATTCTGTTAGTTTCGAAAAACTACTTAAGTTGAGGGAAGTGATTTCCGCACACCCTTATTTGTTTGTTTTTTGTCCTTTGGATTGAATAAATCAAAAGAGAATCAATAGGAACAAACAACCAACGGTGTGCACAAACTGGTGCCCTTATGTTGAATCGTTAGATGGTGTGCTGTATTTAATGTAG